TACTACTGCTACTACAACAACTACTTCTACCGCTACCACGACTGCGCTGGTGCTACTACTACCTCCTCGTATTACTACTACTACTACTACTACTACTACTACTACTACTACTACTACTACTACTACCACGACTACTACTACTACTGCTACGGCCAGCATTGCCGCTACGGCTACTGCTGCTACCACTGCTACGACCAACACTTCCACTCTGACTACCGCCGCTAGTGCTGCTACTCCTACCACTACTACGGTTATGTTGTGTGATGAGAAATACCCTCACAAGTTTTCAGCCCCACGGTGCGGTTAAGAAATCTAAGGTTTTGCCGAGACTCTGGAAGGTACATTTGCAGGGGCCATAGCTTTGCCTTGTTCTGCTCATGAGTAGCCAAACAAAATTTCTGAAACTTGTTGCTGTGGCCAAGGTCTGTGACGTCCCGGCCTTGGACCGTTCTTGCAAATTTGGCTAAGCAGACCCATCCCGCAGGCAGGGCCTGTGGGAAAGGAGAGCGTGGCCAGTAGATCCATCCCACAGGCGCCTGGCGCGTAAGCCCTGTCGGACAGGGGAGCGACGTGAACAAGCAAACCCACCTTGCAGGCGACGGAGTGAAAGACCCCGTGCAAGACCTGTAGGAGTGGGGAGCAACGATGTTTAAGTGAAAGTCGTGATGCAAGGCCTTGAGGAGTGACGGAAGCGCGACGGAGGCGGGGCCGCAAGATTAGCGGCCCCGCTTCCACATTTGCTTGAACATGTTTTTTTTCATAAGGAAGCCTTCTGCGCGAAAAAAAAGAAGAACATCCTTCAGCGCCCCTCAGCGCCACAGCCTTAAAACATTCTTTCTTCTAAGGAAGCCTTCTGCGCGAGAAAAAGAAAGAATGTCCTTCAGTGGCCCCCATCCCGGTCGTTCGGCTCAGGCCCTCTACTCGCTCGCGACCCACGCTTCCGTAGCCCGCAAAAATGTCCGCGCCGCCGCCCGACGCGGCCCCAGCGACCCGCCGAGCGCCGGGGCCTTTAAACTCCCAGTCTGAAACCAGTCTGAAACCAGTCTGAAACCAGGCGGAAACCAGTCTGAAACCAGTCTGAAAACAATGGGTTCTATGCGTGGGGGACTGGTCTCCATGCGGCTAGTCATTGTGCTTCTGCCATAGTGGTTCCGATTGGTGGTTGGACAGTTTGCTTTTGGTGGCTGCAAGTGCCACTTCGCGACTTGGGCGCCTCAAAATGTCCCAGTCGTACCCAATCGCACTCGTCGCCTCAAAACAAAGCGGGCTTAGTGGGCCATCGAGGCACTGAGAAATTTATTTGCCGGCCAAGCAAGAGTCTCACTCATTTCTTGTTTAGTAAGATTTCTTAGCACACTAAACGACCGTACTACAACTATCACGACTGCTACTACTACCACTACTGCTACTACTACTTCTACTATTACCACGGGTTCTGAGTTCATTTCTTTTTGACTCAGAGCCAATCTTTTTGACCCCTTACCCGACAATCAAGCAAACAAACAGCCGGGCAAACAAACAAGCGAGCGAGCGAAACAGGCAAACACACAAACAGACAAACAAACCAACAAACAACCAGAGAAGCAAACAACCAACCAACCAACCAACCAAACAAACAAACAAACAAACACAAACAAACAAACCAACAAACCAACAAACCAACAAACCAACAAAAAGCCAACGCAAGCACACACGCCCGCACGCCCGCAAACAAACACAGGCAACCACAAACAGAAAGAAGCAAGCAAACGCAACCACGAACACAAACAAACAATCAGTCAAGCAATCAAGCAAACAAGCAAACAAGGAAACAAAGCAACAAACAAACAAACCAACAAACCAACAAACAAACAAACAAACAAGCGTACGAACGCGCGCAAGAAACCAAGCAAACAAGCAGACAAGCAAACACGCAAGCAAGCAAACAAGCAAGCAATCAATCCAACCAACCAAACAATCAAACAAACGATCAAACAAAGAAGCAACCAAACAAGCAAGCAGACATACGCACACACACAAATGCACACAAGCACAGAACACACAAGCAAGAAAGCAAACGCATAAGCGAGCCAACTGACAGGCAACCCACCAACCAAACAAACTACCCGAACAGACAAGCAAACAGGCAGGCGACCAAACACAACAAATTTAGCAAACAAGCAGGCAGACAGGCAAGCAAGCGAACAACCAACCGTCCAAAATAAGCAACCAACGACGGAGCGGCCGAGAAAGCAAGCTTGCAGGCGGGCAAGCAAACCAACAAGCGAGCAAGAAAGCAAACGAGCAAACAAGCAAAGGAGCAAACAAGCAAGGGCAATCAAGCAAGCGCCACAAGCGAGCACGCGCAAATGCACCAATGAACGCGCACATCCAGAAGCATAGACAGCCACGCAAACCGCACGCGCGCCAGAAACATATACACGCACACACAAGCACGCACGCGCCCACGCATGCATTTACAAACGCACAAACACACACACAAGCGCAGAAACACACAAGCGCACACCCTGACAAACACAAACACACAAGCGCACACACACACATACAAGCAGAAACCGCACGACATAGGCAGTAAGTACATACCTAAACATAATCACACACACACAGAAACACAAAGCTCACACGCAGACTTGGCGGTGTGTGAATTTGGGGATGCTTCGTTCATGGGTTGTACAGGAACCAACATGAGAAAAACGATGGGACGGACCTTGAACAGGTTTGGACATTTTCAGTTGTTTGAGCTTTGGGTTTGGAATTGTCCAACCACTACTGGGCGAGAATGAGGCATACAACTGGAACACAATGATAGCATTTTGTCCACATGGTTCATGTTCCGAGGGTTTGGGGTTGGACCCCTGGCTGGTTTCTGGCTAGGAGCTGCTCCACTTCCAGAATTGGTCAGCGGCTGCCTGGGTGAATCCCGCAGTGCAGCCGGCCAGTGGGGTCCGATTGGTGGGACGATCCAGCGTGGAAGCGGCCCGGCACCAAACCGCACGGTCGCAAGAACGGACCATTTTCCGGGCCTTTTTCCCAACGGACCCGTTGGTGGACATCATCTAGGTGGGGATTCATGTCGAGGTGGTTCCGCTTGAAGTTCACGAGCCTTTTGGTGTCAGAAAACGCCTTTCTTGCAGGGGTCGGGAACCCTAAAGGTTTCTTATCATGTTTCGACAAACTGAAATGTGACTGCGAAGTTTTCGATTTGCGCCTCCGTGCCCTCGAGAAACTGAAACGTGCAGCTTGGGACAATGTCCCATCATTCCTGCCAACCTCTGCACTTGGCCAATGTTGAAAGGTGATCAATAACTTTTTGCAACTCTGCGCCCAGGATCCTTCCTCTGATGAGTTTGGCATCCACCTCATGGGTGACTTCTTGCCACGCTGCACCACCTTCAGCATGATGGGAGGTGGGGGTTCGCAAACGGCGCAATCCGAGCCAAAGCGAGGTGAGCAGCGCCCAAAACCCGCAGTCGGAATTTTCGTAGATAGTTCTGCTAAGTTTTGGGCGCTGCTCAGGTGGCAAACCCTGGGATGCAGGGGAGAGTCCCAACCATGACTGACTCGGTCAGAGGTTGGCAGGGCAAATTCCAACCACAAATGCGTGTGATTTTTTGAGGGTGCCCTTTCATTTAGTTCTAAGGGACACCAAAAGCAAACCAGCGATTTCCGGGGGGTTAACCGTTTTGAGACAAGCCCATACAAGTTTGAAGCTTTTGTGTTCAGTCAAACGTCAAAGGGTAGGGTGATCAGAGGGGAATTCCAATCATGTACAGACACGGCTATAGGCCATTGTTTTTGATTATTCCTTACATGGTGTTGGTCCTTCTCTTTGGGGTTTCAGTTCCCCAAGTCGGTGCCCTGCGGCTGTTTGGTCCCAGCCCGTTTGCTGCACCAGGTGCGGCGAGCTGCACGGGAGGGGGATCTCTGACTCGAAACGTTTGGACGCACGTGGCGTGCACCTTCGAGGCATCGATCGGCTTGAGGCCGGGAATCGGAGGGATTGTCGGACCTTGAAGAGGTTCTGAACAGGCTAACAATCGGGGACCCCCGCAAAAAATGGTTTCCTTTTGGCTTCCCTTTGAAACCACAAAACGGGGTACCCTGAAATGAAGGCAACCCCATATGACTCAGGGGACCCTTTTAATGGGAGCCTTGCGCCGGAATCATGTGTGTAGCATGCGATCGAATCCATTGCGTAGCACCAACGGGTCACCCAAATTACAGCTCCATGGCTTTGAGGAGAACATGGCACGAATTCGTGCACCGAAAGGAAGCAATGTTGTCGGCCCATTTGAGGACCGCCCCAAATATGGAGAGATGGTTTTTCTGGGCACCCTTCTGCTTGTGGCCTTACGGCCAAAAGCCAAAAGCCAAAAGCCAACAGCCAAAAGCCAGGCTCTACATCAACGGATCTCTGGCCAAGACCTGCGGAGCCGGCTTCGCGGGGAACTGGAACGACGGCAGCTCGCGGCTTTGGTCGCAAGGAGGGGGCCTTTCGGAGCGTCGGAGCCCTTGGGGTCAAAAATGTTTGCCTAGCGAGTGGGTACTGTAGCTGATCGGCCAAGCGCCATGGTCTTCTTTTTAGCCTGGCACATTTCGTTGCGCATCTGTCTCGCACGGGTGAAGCGGATGCTGAGGCACAACATCACGCTCGGCAGCAAGCCTGTGCTCGTCTTAGCAAGTCAAGAGAGCCAGCCCTTCCAAAGCTTTTCAAAAGCCAAGGTTGTCGATTGCGATTTCTTTTCAAATCAAACAATGTCTAGTTGTTTCCATTTTTTCTCAGGGTGACAGTCAACGAGTATAGTGCAACATACAGATGGCGCTGGCCCCAAGGAAGGTGCGCAAAACGTGTTCTTTGACGGAATGCTGGATGAAGTGGGCATTTTCACCCACACACTGGCCCCAGCTGACGTTCACCAGCTGTATTTGAACTCCCGCGCCGTGGCATAACACTTTGGAGTCGATGCAGGGAGTGAGAGAAGCCAGTTGTCAATGTGTTA